ATGACGTAATCATCATGGTCACCCTATTATGGGTACACTCATCCGGATCCAGGTCACTTGGATCCACTTCACTGTAAGTGTACACTCGCCGTGAACCCGAGCTCTCCAATCATCCAACATCATCTTGCAACCGTCTGTGATCTCCATTGTCCCACGAAAGTTCGAGATCCACTGTATCCATCATCCCTGTACCCTGGATCCAGGTCCTTCTATGCGGGATCTTCCCGCCTTGGATCCGAACTCGGAAGTATGGGATCCGGGGCACCTCGCGGTGGATCTTGACTCTTCATTAGCCGTGGCTACTAGATCCACCTTCAGAGGGCACCGACCATCCTTCCTTTATAGGATCCACACTCGATCCACTCTTGTATAGTATATCCCATATCCATCTTAGTGAATCCAGGTAAGGGTGGATCCGAGGTAAGTCTTGGTGGATCTTGCCTTCTCGTACGTCGCTCATACCAGATCCATCTTCATTTCGTACGGGGTGCTGTTCGTCATGGCTAATCCACCACAGGCAACTTGCATCCGTGCCAGCCAACCCAAATCCTCTCTCATCACTTGAAATTGTCACTGATTCGGGGTAGTGACCCCGCGTCAGGCCCATTCTCTTATTTCTGAAAAAGCACTTTACCACAATGCGTCATCGCCGCTTCGGCCCAGAAACACTTGTCCAGCTTGGCATGATGCAGCATGCTGCGGCCCTTCGTGACGATGGTGCGGATGGTCCGCTCTGCTGTGCCGTTAGTCGGGTGCGCGTACGGAACCGTGGTTTGCTGCTCGATGCCTTCGTCTTCGTAGAAATCTTTGAGCGAGTTAGTCGCAAGCTCACGAGCTCCATCGTGTCGCACGAACTTGACCTTCTTGCCAAACTGCGTCTGCACCTTCGTGACGTACGTCTTGATGCAGTCTTCGCTTTCTGATTTGGCACGCAGACAGAAACCCTTCATGCATCCGCTGGCTTCGTCAACGATCGGTAGCAAATACTTGCTGCCTCCAAGCGATTTCTTCATGGGTTCGCTTGGGATCCAGAACCAACCACGTGAAGATTTTATCACTGCTGCTCCACCCCATCCCCACGTCTCGCCAAGACACTCAAGCTTCACCACTTGAACTCTTCGGAAGTTACCGAGAGAGCAAGATCCCGCCCTACCGACGGGTACACAAGGTGAAGAAAGTTCAGCAGATCACGGATCATCGGGGGACCCCTCCGTTAGTCGGTGTCCGGGCGCTGTTGGTAAGTTGGATCCGGCAATCTCGTAGATTTTGCTGATCCCGCTACACCACAATGGTGCGCGTGCCCGGATCTCTTGGTGACTCGGGATTTCACCGTGAGTCCCAAGAAGATGCTCAAGTAAAGATTGAGCCAGGGGAGGAGGCGTCATCGGAGGTCGGATCGACGAAGACGTTGCTGATTGAAGCAGGATCCGCGGATCGATGGAGTTTTGGGAGGAACTCTGTCGACGGAAGAGAGGTGGATCCGGATCCGGATCTAGAAGAGAAACCTCTCTATCCTCCCCAGGTCCCCTCGCGGATTTTGACGCAAGTCAAGATCCGCTAACAAAACAAGGGAAAGTGAAGGCGAAACGGTATGCATTTGCAGATTCACCGGTTAAGCCAACATCGTACCTAAACCCAAGCCCGCTAGTCGAAGAAACGAGAAAGAAGACGAAGATGAGTAAGACTACGCGGAAAGAAATGCACGTTCAGCGAATCACGGGTTCGGACGGTTGTCTGGAGAGACCGAAGGTGACGGACTGCGGCGCTTGCTCGCGCGCTTGCTCACAGCCGCGTTACCACTTGAGCCGATCGCCTCCGAGGTCACCTTAGTAGCCTCCTGGAGTGCAGAGCCTTTGCCGTGAGGCTTAGAGCTCTTGGCTTGCGCCTTTTCGGCAGCAGCTTTGAGGCGTGTTTTCGCACCGCTGCCACGAGGCATGCCAAAGATCGATGTGGAGACCCGAGAAGAAGAGTGCTCAACCGCTGCTCGAGGCTCTAACTGTAAAGTGAGCCTCCGCCGCGCTCGCGCAGCCAAGTCGATGTATTTCGACTTTGAGGATGAGAGTTTATGACGTACACTTCCTCATTCTGATTGGTCGGTAAACCGAACCTTAGTCGGGGAGGATGTAACGGGGTACGTGGCCCTAAGTGCACCCCTAGTTACATGAGGTGTGACACGTCATACTTCGGGATATCTGGTACATGGTACCAGGTTCGTCCGAGGCTATTTATAGGCTGATGACATTGCTGTTCTATTGGTGACTTATTGTTTGTATATTTAACTCAAGCTTAGCCTACCAATAAATATATTCACTTTACAACTTACCTTAAGTTGGTCACTTCGCTCCCTTAGGCCAAGGGCCTGTGAAATGCCGTTCACTGAGAGTTTGTAAGCTCTCGGAAGCCAACTTCCTGTGATGTGTGACCCCGTCACAGAGATGAATTCCTGCGGTCGATAGTTAAAAAAAACTATCTTCTATCATGTTCATTCGCTTTGAAAGATAAAAATGGATTAAAAATTCTTCCTCTTCAAGCTTAGTTCCATCAACACCATGCCGATCGTGTACGCGCTCGTGTCGCGCGAGAAGACGGTGCTGGCTGAATATACAGCAACGTCGGGAAACTTCCCTACTGTGACGCGTGTGCTGCTGGCCAAGATCCCACCGACGGACGGGCGCATGTCGTACGTGTACGACCGCCATATTTTCCACTACATCGTGGAGGGCGGCGTGACGTATTTGTGCATGGCGGACGACGACCTCAAGCGACGCGTGCCTTTTCTCTTCCTGGAAGACATGAAGAAGCGCTTTCAATCCGCATACGGGGAGCGCGCACTCACAGCCATCGCCTTCGCCATGAACGACCAGTTCCAGCACGAGATCCGTCACTTGCTCGACTATTACAACGCCAATCCAGACGCAGACTCGCTCTCGAGGGTCAAGCAGCAGATTGACGACGTTAAGGATATTATGGTGGAGAATATTGAAAAGGTGCTGGACAGAGGAGAAAAATTTGAGCTGCTCGTGGACCGCACGGACAAACTGAACCGCCAGTCGGTCAAGTTCGAACGTTCATCCACGCAGCTACGCAAGTCCATATGGAGACGCAACGTTAAGCTCTGGCTGCTGCTCGTGGGTATTGGGCTCTTTGTCATTTATCTCGTCATCTCGATGGCCTGTGGTTTCGACTTCAGCGGCTGCTCCGGCAAGCGGGACGACGAGTGACCAGATCCGTCTTTTGTCATTTTATGGAAAGTAAAACACGTTTGCAAACTCACAAGTTTCCTACTTCTTGCTCTGCTCAATAAGGTTAGTCAAGTTGTCTAAGTTCCTATCTATCCCCGTCTACTTCTGGTTGTTAGTTTTGCAAGCCTTCTACTTCGACGCAAAGTCCAAGGCGCGGTCAAAGTTGGTCTCAGATGTGGTGCGTACCCCGTGATGCCAATGACCCTCAACGTTATTGTGCAGTGCAACAGTGACAGCCTTGTAGATGACCTCGTCTCGTCCTACGAAGTGGACAAGCGCGAATTGACAGCAGGTGAACGCCAGCGCCTCCTTGGCCACATCGACGTTTGGGCTCTGCAATGCGCGTGCTAGTCGAGTAAACACTCGGCGTTGCAGGACTTGTGATGGGTCCACTTGGTTAAGAGGAGGACCCGACATGATGACTCGTGCCACCATGCGAATAGCCCCCACCTCCTGTTTCGGGTAACGGGTAGGCCACGCACTTAACAGCCGCTTGAGCAGTGGACTAGTGACTGACGGCATGTACGCCACGAACTGACCCGCACAGCTAATGAGTTCTTCGTCGTCGGATCCCGCAGGATCCACCCAATGTGCACGCCACAGCGAAACGAGACTCGTCATGCAGTTGCGCGCAAGTTCCTTCTGCTGTTCCTCTAGTTCCAGAGCCGCGTCCGATTCCTCAGGAGGCGGCGTGTCCACCAAACTCTCTTCAACATGCTCGATAGAGTACCGTACGAATTCAGTGAAGCCGTGTCCATGGTCGTGAACGTGGTCCGCGATAACTCGTGTCGAGGTTTTCTCCACGCCAAGCATCTGGGCACGCGCCGCAACGGCTTTCACGTACTCCACGCGCAATGCCGTAGCATCAGCAAGTGCCCGTGCAAGGTGAAGCCTCTTAGTGGGGCAGCTTTTGTGGATAGCACGCACAATGTCTAGTCGTGCGCTGGCTGTGCGGAAGTCCTCGAAGCGCAATGCGTTCACTAGAGCGTGCATAAATGTGGGCGTAATGAGGCTATCAGCAGCCGTTGCTGGAGTCACGGCAGTTAATAGTGACGATGGAGCGTGCAGATTGAGCTGATCTCTGAAGAGAGCGTTTGCTAGTCCTCGCTTGACGAACTCTTCATTGGGTTCATCCGTGTCAGTTCCTGTGTCGTCTCCGAAGGCGCTGAGCGCCTGTCGCGGGCGATTGCGTCGTCCTTCACTACGTGCAAATAGCGCCTTAAAGATCGTGTCAATGACATCGTCGCGGCTGGCCACGCGCTGTGGCAGACGCTTCTGCTGACTGAAGAGTGTGAGCTGCTGGGGGAAGGCGCTTCCTCCTGCCTCGGGATACACATCATCGGCGTCCTGTTTTGTTGACGGTGCAGACCCCACTTCTACTTCTGGTGTAGTCTCTTGAGCCTGCAGCTCTGTTGACGTGAGCGACAGTTTGCGACGGTGACGCTCACGCATCGATACGGCCACGTCCTTGGCGGACGGCTGTGCTTTTCCCTGTTTGTTTAGTTCTTTAGTGCCCATGCGCTGTCGTCTAGGTTTGCTCTGAGCGCTACCATTGCTACCATGAGGAGCAGCTCGACTCATCTGCTGCAGAGACTGCTGCTGGTTCTTCTTGGCCGCAACCTCGATGTTTTTGTGCAGTCTGGCGGAAGCAGCAGCTGTGGCCGAGCGCTTTGGGCGCCGAGAAGATACGGTCGAAGCAGTAGAAGAAGAAGGACCACGTCGCTCCGTCACGAAGGCCATCGATCGCTTGGGAGTGACAGGCGTCGACAGGGCGGTGCGCTCGGCAGCCGGCACAAACACGGGCGCCGACAGCGACAAGTTGGCACGACCGAAGCGCTGCTCCAGCTCGTCCTCATCCAGACTGCGCTCGCGGTCTCGCTGGCGACGCACTCGACTGGCTCGCAGCTTGGATCCGCCGCGCGCCTTGGCAGCCTCATCGCTGTTCCCAGTACGGCTCATTTTCGAGTGACGATTGGCTGCCCAAAGACTAGCCGAAATTACGACTTATCACGAATAATGCATATGTTGTTCAAATGGATGCGATGTGGACACATATTCTCTGGATTTTAGAGGGCCGTTCTTAACCCCTTAGTTCCCGGCCTCAGATATGAGGGTATATTTTGACCTCGTCCCATATACAGATATAAAGGAATTTGTATGGGGTTTCAATTAAGTCCGGATATCTTGGCGCGGGTTCGGGGTGGTAACAACGACTTGCCAGTGTGTATAGTACGGATTCTCCAACATAAAGGAGGGTTTATGTAGTACATTGAGACGATCATATACAACTATGCTGTATAAATAAACATAAGATATGTACTGTTTATCGATTAGCCTATCTTTGTGCTGTTGCATACGTCCAGCAGCGGTGAGTTCATTTATTATAGCCAATAACAAGAAAGATCAAGTGCCGTATCAATTGATTGCTCCTTGCATAGACATGTACGACCAGACGGCGCAACCACTACGCCTCCTCCTCCACCGCTTCATCATCTTCTTCGCTCGACTCCCCAGCACCAGCACCAGCACTTGCTCCGCTCTCGCCTACCTGCTGTCTGCGTCTCCGCTTCTTGCCTGGCCGCGACGCTGGCGGTCGTTCACGTGTCCTGTGCTCTTGCAGTAGGTCGCGCGGGATGTCGTTGCCGTTGCTCCAATCAGCATGCCAAATGCTGAAGCACGTACTGACCCTGCCTTTCATCTGCTGCAGAGACTGCTGCTGGTTCTTCTTGGCCGCAACCTCGATGTTTTTGTGCAGTCTGGCGGAAGCAGCAGCTGTGGCCGAGCGCTTTGGGCGCCGAGAAGATACGGTCGAAGCAGTAGAAGAAGAAGGACCACGTCGCTCCGTCACGAAGGCCATCGATCGCTTGGGAGTGACAGGCGTCGACAGGGCGGTGCGCTCGGCAGCCGGCACAAACACGGGCGCCGACAGCGACAAGTTGGCACGACCGAAGCGCTGCTCCAGCTCGTCCTCATCCAGACTGCGCTCGCGGTCTCGCTGGCGACGCACTCGACTGGCTCGCAGCTTGGATCCGCCGCGCGCCTTGGCAGCCTCATCGCTGTTCCCAGTACGGCTCATTTTCGAGTGACGATTGGCTGCCCAAAGACTAGCCGAAATTACGACTTATCACGAATAATGCATATGTTGTTCAAATGGATGCGATGTGGACACATATTCTCTGGATTTTAGAGGGCCGTTCTTAACCCCTTAGTTCCCGGCCTCAGATATGAGGGTATATTTTGACCTCGTCCCATATACAGATATAAAGGAATTTGTATGGGGTTTCAATTAAGTCCGGATATCTTGGCGCGGGTTCGGGGTGGTAACAACGACTTGCCAGTGTGTATAGTACGGATTCTCCAACATAAAGGAGGGTTTATGTAGTACATTGAGACGATCATATACAACTATGCTGTATAAATAAACATAAGATATGTACTGTTTATCGATTAGCCTATCTTTGTGCTGTTGCATACGTCCAGCAGCGGTGAGTTCATTTATTATAGCCAATAACAAGAAAGATCAAGTGCCGTATCAATTGATTGCTCCTTGCATAGACATGTACGACCAGACGGCGCAACCACTACGCCTCCTCCTCCACCGCTTCATCATCTTCTTCGCTCGACTCCCCAGCACCAGCACCAGCACTTGCTCCGCTCTCGCCTACCTGCTGTCTGCGTCTCCGCTTCTTGCCTGGCCGCGACGCTGGCGGTCGTTCACGTGTCCTGTGCTCTTGCAGTAGGTCGCGCGGGATGTCGTTGCCGTTGCTCCAATCAGCATGCCAAATGCTGAAGCACGTACTGACCCTGCCTTTCATCTGCTGCAGAGACTGCTGCTGGTTCTTCTTGGCCGCAACCTCGATGTTTTTGTGCAGTCTGGCGGAAGCAGCAGCTGTGGCCGAGCGCTTTGGGCGCCGAGAAGATACGGTCGAAGCAGTAGAAGAAGAAGGACCACGTCGCTCCGTCACGAAGGCCATCGATCGCTTGGGAGTGACAGGCGTCGACAGGGCGGTGCGCTCGGCAGCCGGCACAAACACGGGCGCCGACAGCGACAAGTTGGCACGACCGAAGCGCTGCTCCAGCTCGTCCTCATCCAGACTGCGCTCGCGGTCTCGCTGGCGACGCACTCGACTGGCTCGCAGCTTGGATCCGCCGCGCGCCTTGGCAGCCTCATCGCTGTTCCCAGTACGGCTCATTTTCGAGTGACGATTGGCTGCCCAAAGACTAGCCGAAATTACGACTTATCACGAATAATGCATATGTTGTTCAAATGGATGCGATGTGGACACATATTCTCTGGATTTTAGAGGGCCGTTCTTAGCCCCTTAGTTCCCGGCCTCAGATATGAGGGTATATTTTGACCTCGTCCCATATACAGATATAAAGGAATTTGTATGGGGTTTCAATTAAGTCCGGATATCTTGGCGCGGGTTCGGGGTGGTAACAACGACTTGCCAGTGTGTATAGTACGGATTCTCCAACATAAAGGAGGGTTTATGTAGTACATTGAGACGATCATATACAACTATGCTGTATAAATAAACATAAGATATGTACTGTTTATCGATTAGCCTATCTTTGTGCTGTTGCATACGTCCAGCAGCGGTGAGTTCATTTATTATAGCCAATAACAAGAAAGATCAAGTGCCGTATCAATTGATTGCTCCTTGCATAGACATGTACGACCAGACGGCGCAACCACTACGCCTCCTCCTCCACCGCTTCATCATCTTCTTCGCTCGACTCCCCAGCACCAGCACCAGCACTTGCTCCGCTCTCGCCTACCTGCTGTCTGCGTCTCCGCTTCTTGCCTGGCCGCGACGCTGGCGGTCGTTCACGTGTCCTGTGCTCTTGCAGTAGGTCGCGCGGGATGTCGTTGCCGTTGTTCCAATCAGCATGCCAAATGCTGAAGCACGTACTGACCCTGCCTTCACGCGGAACGTTGCATAGGTATTTACTAAATCAAAACGAGTTAGCCAAAGCTTACGGTAAGGGTGCCAAGCGAGCTACGCACCGTTTGTTCCCGTTCGAGCACTCCGTGTAACGGGGTTACATGGTGTGGAGCACACAGGGGTACGAAGTACCCGGAGAGTTAGCAAACTCTCAGTACATAAGTTGGAGAGTTAACAAGGTCTCTCAGTACGTTGGCTGAAAGCCACACGTTATGCATTTGATTAGGTTTAACTATGCTAGATAGTTAAAGAGATACATTTACCCCTAGGCGGCTTGGCCGCAATAATAGTAAATAAAACACTTCTGGTTTTGAAGCATAAAAGTTAAGGTGTTAACTTTGAGCCCTGGTCTTGGGCTGTAAGTGTCCTTTGGATAAGGAACTTAGTATTAGTGACTCTTTGAGTCGAACGTCTTCCTCTGACGCTAAAGCTACGGCAGCCCCGCTGCACTTGGTAGCACTTGTAGTCAATCCCGCTCCTGAGTCGGTTGACTATATCCTCTGCGAGGATGGAACACCCCGTGTTCGC